GAGTTGCATAATCTCATAGTCATAGGAACATGTATAAGTCATGAAGAAAGCAATAACAACAAACTAAAGGATCATTGTGCTAAGCTAACGGAATGGGTCGAATCAATCACATCATTCTCCTAATGATGTGATCCCGTTTATCAAATGACAACTCATGTCTATGGTTAGGAAACATAACCATCTTTGATCAACGAGCTAGTCAAGTAGAGGGATACTAGTGACACTTTGTTTGTCTATGTATTCACACATGTATTATGTTTCCGGTTAATACAATTCTAGCATGAATAATAAACATTTATCATGATATAAGGAAATAAATAATAACTTTATTATTGCCTTTAGGGCATATTTCCTTCACCTGCATGGCCACATTGAGCCATCTGAGGTTCGGCAGCCCCAGACCTCCAGCCCATTTCGGTGCACATACCAAATCCCACGCGACCGTGCAGTTGCCACCATTCGCCACAGCCCTCCTGCACCAGAGGAACCCTCTGCACACCTTGTTTATCGATGTAATAGTCGTCATCAGGAGATCCAAGGCCATCATGGGATGAATGGGCATGGCGCATAGCACTGACTGGAGCAAAGTTAGTTGTCCACTCTTTGGCATTAACGTCGCCTTCCACTTGGGTAAGCAATTCGCCATCTGATCAACAAGGTATTGCAACTGCGCCAGTGATTGCTTCCTTAATGACAAAGGCAGGCCCAGGTATTTGATTGGAAAGGACCCTCTCGGGCATCCTAGCTCCACACTTGCCATAGTGATTTCCTGATCACTGCATCTTATTGGGAGGGCAGCTGATTTCTCCATATTTATTCGCAGGCCTGACGCCTCCCCAAACATCTCGAAGATACGCTTACAAATCTCAAGCTCCACCGGTTTAGGTTTGATGAACACCACCACATCATCCACAAAGATGGACAAACGTTGCCTCATTCCTCTACGAGCCAAGGGCTCCAATATGGCCTCTACTCGTGGCTCGCTCAAACAACCTTTGCAAGGGCTCCATCGTAAGGATAAATAACATCGGCGATATCGGGTCGCCTTGCCTCAGCCCCTTGCAGTTATATATTGTGTCCCTAGGGTCTCCATTCACCTTAATCTTGATGGTGGATGTCGCAAGAATCCCACAGATCCATGATCTACACCTAGGTCCAAAACCAAGTTGATGCATCACCTCAATTAGGAATGGCCATTGGACGGAGTCAAACGCCTTCGATATATCAAGCTTGAGTAATACCGCGGGGCTTCTTAGAGCATTCAGCCTGCGAGCAGTACTTTGGACCAACATGAAGTTGTCGTGCAGAGATCTACCCTTCACGAAGGCACTTAGATGGTTCCCCACAAGCTTCGGAAGTTGTAGCACCAATCTACAAGCAAGCACCTTCTCGAAGATTTTTCATAGCCCCATGTACGAGGTTAATTGGCCTAAAGTCAGGCACCATCCCATTCTTCATGCAGAACTCCTTAGTGGCTTGTGAGTGTTTGTATTATCCTTCTTTGAAATACCCAAAGGGACATGTAAAAGACAAGATTTCTATAGAATCACGATTCTTCCAGGGAGGGGGGAGCCAACACGGTTCCCTGCCTACACCCCCTGCCTGCTTGGTCGGCGCCCCGTGGGAAGTCATGCGACAATTGTGCTTCAACTGCGGCATTGTGAGCCATTTTCGCTCCTAGTGCACGGTGCCCCCATGTTGCCCCGTAGAGGGAGTTTTCGGGTTATGGGGTCGATGGCGGGTTTTATTACATCGACATGGCGTCGGAGGTGATACCCGTCCAACCGCACCTGGCTGCTATCTCGGTGGTGCTGGAACAGGACTTGGCCCGTCTATGGAGGTCATTGCCGATGTCATCCAAGCCGAGCGTTGTGACTACATCACCGACATCTTCACTTGGAGGTCATTGCCGACGTCATTAAAGCCGAGCCCTATGACTACATCATCGACATCTTCACGAGGAGGTCATTGCCGATGTCATCAAAGTCGAGCCTTCCTTACTGTTTTCTTTTTGGAGTCGTCGGTTTGGACAAAGTTCCTCGTAGTATAAGTGTCACAAAGCAACGTGATGTTAAGGTTCTCTTTTACATAGTAGATAGCTCTACAGGTTCTTGACATGATATTAACCTTCGTAAGCAAAGAAGGGGACAAACATTCTTAATTTGAGAAGTTTCTCACTAGTGGCAAGGGGGGAAAGAATGTAGGAGGGATCTTGTTGTGCACTGGATGCAAATTGGATAGAGAAAATGGAAGACGAAAAAATTGTTAAATTGTACAGTGAAAGGGGAAAAAGCAAAAGAGAAAATGGAAGATGAAAAAAATTGTTAAATTGTAGGTGAAAAAAAGCAACCACCCTTAATATAACGGTAGCAGAGAAGACGTGAACCGAAATTATACCAGGATCATAATACGCTAGTCCCTCCATTGCTTTGGAGGATCACTTCCAAAACCATCTGGCCGTCCACAGGGACTAGCCTCCTGGGCCCTCGCGCTATCGCCGTATAATCCATCTTGTGAGAGAAAGACTAAGCTGATCGAGTCCTTACATATTTTTGTTCGTTACTGACACCATAAGCGAAGCTTCATGCCCCGTCTGATACAGTAATAACGTCGTCAAGCGATGTGATACCACGTAAAGCATATATTAATTCCAGAGTTATACTAGTATTACACAGGAATTCTTAGGTATGCTTGCCCCTTGGCATGGACAGGCAGAAACAAACATGGGACATTTTTCCTGTCGTCCCTCGCAGTAGGCTTGATGAGATCATTCGCTGTGTCGCCTCAGTTTACCTTCTTTCAGCCGCCGGAACAGAGTGCTCTTCTTCATACCCAAGGCCTCGGCTAGCTCTCGAATCGTCATGCGTCCATCCAGGGGCAGCCCACGTAAAGCGTCAGGGTCAAGCTCCACCCGCCTGCGGCCGCAGTTCTTAGGCCTCTTGCTCGCCACGGCATGTATTCCACCACGCAGCGCCCGATCGTCCATATGCGCCACTCCACGCTTCATAATGCCACCAGGCACCAGCATTCCTATGTACTCCTAAAAGCATGCTGTATATGTGACGGCGTTCGTCGTCGGTGTACTGCGTTGTGAAGTAATTCTACAGAATGGAAGCACAAGCTAGATTACAATTATAGGCATCATAATTCTACCAAAAGTAATTCTAGTACAGTTCATATTAATTGATACATGTGTTGTGATCAATACTCTATGCATATTTGGGTATATAAAATCAAATGTGCTACACATATTATCCGACAGTGTGCAATTAATTAAACATCAATAAGTGGGCAAAAACTAATCCTGCTATAAATCATATTCAGAAATGGTGTATACAGCAGTAGCGTCATGCATGGGGCATAAATGATGTGAACAATAGAAGTGCAACTATGTGAGTATGAGCCGAGATCATGGAGCATAAAATACTAAACTAACAAATTGTTTCAAAGATACTAGTAACATTTTCCGTCAATTGCACCATCCAAAGTACGTTGTACAACACAGACAAACAAATACAAACTGAATTCGTGATTTTACGAAGAAAATCTATTTGAAGCTAAGAAATCATGAAGGAGATGGACATGTATGGCATGCACAACCAAGATACTAAACAGAAGTGCACAAACCCTAACTGATAAGTGTGAACTATATATTCTTGGTCTATTCAACGTCCGGCAATGGAGTACAACTGCAAGAACATGAACAACTTACTCAAGTCGAAGCCTCGGCCGCTGCCGCCCACATCACCTCCGCCGCCCCCACCGTTGCCACCGGCCGGCGTCCGAGTGAACTCCTCCACCGCCCCCTTCGTGGTAGCCGTGGATGTCCGAGCGACTGCCTCCGTGGCTGGCAAAGTCTCCATGGTCCGCACCTTGTCCGTCCGCCCCATCTCTTCTATGGCCGGCGCCATCAGCTCGTCCGTACTCTTGTATCTCCTCACACTCCCAGTCCCAGTGGATGGGTTGATTCAGATCGAATAGAGCCATCGTTTCGGACGGCTAGGTTTGGAAGAAGAAGAAGAAGAAGAAGAAGAAGAAGAAGAAGGGAGATTAACTGGTGCGGGGCGCGATGGAGCTTGCATTGCATGAGGGTTCGGAGACCCATGCGACCAAGCGCTTCTAGCGAGAGAATTTTTTTACTCCCTCCGTTCACTTTTGTAAGAACTTTTAGACATTTAAATATCATCTAAAACAGTTCAATTTCAGCTGTCTTAAACGACTTACAAAAGTGAACAAATGGGTAAAACGAATTAACGGGTCTAGCTAGAGATTTCAGTGAAGAAGGGCCGGCGTGGCCAGGCCATGGCCGGGCTTCCTCGGCCTCCGGCTCCGGGTAGAAAAACGGCCTGAGCTCCGGAAGAAGAAGAAGAAAAACTGAGACGCCTACCATACCGGGACGATGAGGGGATCGTCGAAGATGGTTACATCTGGACCTCACGCGTTTGTTGCTGCCAAAGCGGTTTTCCCCTTTGCCACGCACGCACGCATACGTTCCCGTTCCGTCCCAAGCCAATCGCCCCGCGCTCCAACGCACATCGCCGACGACGCGCGCGGAGCCATCTGCGGAGACCCGGAGAGCAAGCGGGCTCAGAACCGGGCGTGAGCCCACCACGGCGTTGCTCCGCCGCTGCTTCGTGCTAGGTCCCATCCTATCCTACCCTGCTCATCCTCCCACCTCATGTTTGCAGAACTGCGCTGAAGCTTACAAGCTGTCATAATAAACATCCATCATCCATGGATCTTGTTATAGTACCAGTACCAGTTTAACATATGCAGGTTCTATGCTAATGAATATACACTGTCCGGTTCATCTCTTCCAGCTATGATCCCAGGCCGGCATCACCCTATGCATCACGGAGCCTTCGCTACTATTATCCCCCCAGGGGGCCGGGGGGGATACAACCAACATGGACAGGTTAAATCGTCAGTTTCATCGGAGGTGGCTTGCATTGGTTAAGGTGCTCCGCATGCATATGGCCGTCTTCGGTGGTGGCGCAGCGTCAAACCTTGTGGCCGTTGGTCGACCCATTCTGCTCCCCCATCTTGTGGAACTCGGCCTGGATCACCTCCACGATCTTCGCATCGTTTGGGTCGGGCTCCGGGATGCTCACATGCAATGATCCCATCTTGAGGAGCTCCTTGTGCGACGATTGCTGGTTGGTGAGCTCGTAGAGCTCTTTGTGGAAAGGATGGTCAGGGGAGAAGCAATCGTCGGCGTTGGAAGATGAATGCTTGGATGAGCCTGATCCCTCTCGTCGGCAGAAATGGGGGAGAGCTGAGTAGTCCATAATCTACACAATTTGAGCAAGGGACATGTCACTCTAACTTTGGATTTCAGACAAAATAAATGCTACACAAAGGTAATGTTTTCTTCTCCACCACCATGTTGGTGGTACCTATATTTGCAGTAGTAGTAATATTTTACTCAGCGGTTAAGAATCTATGCAAAGACAACAATACGAGAGAGTAACAAAGTAATAACTAAAAAATACCTTTAGAAGTTCATCTCTCCCACAACCACTCAAAACTTTAACCTTCTTTTTTGTCCTCTCCTGCAATAGGGGCTTCACAACCTACCAGTATGCTCAAATGAAATGACAGTTAGCATTCACTACAAAATTTGCTGATACAATCTGAGGACGGCCTTTTGATGGAAAAATCATTGTACCTTCCAGCATGCAGAGAATATATATGGAACATTAACTATGTAATATGTCTCTGACTTTTCAGGGTAGTTCAGATCATCAACAGTTGATATTGAACTCAGCATCTGTAATCCAAACAACAGCAAAAATGTCACGCTAGCTCACCATAACACATAAGCAACACAAGTAATGACCACTCTGCAATTTTACCAGAAAAATAAATATTATGGCACATGTTAGACTATGTATAGCTTCTGTACCTATGTACGTATATTGTACATATTGTAACACAACCATTATATATAATGAGATAAGCCACCCCTAGAGGGTTGTGCTGGTTCCCAAAACTTATTGTCTTACATGGTATCACGCTAGGTTACGATCGCTTCCGCTTCTAAACCCTAATACCCGCACCGCCGCCGCAGCCGCCGCCGCCTTCACCGCCGCCGCCGCGCCACCGATCGCGCCGCCGCCATGTCGAGCGCCGCCACCACCGGTTCCACTGCTGCGGGCTTCCTCCCGGCCTCTCTTGCGGCTCTGCTCAACCTCCCGCTCGATGCCGTCTCCGTTCCGGCTCCGATCGGGACAAGGAGCATCGGCTCCGTCTTCTCCACGCCGCCGGCGCCCTCGCTCGGGCGTGACCTCGTGGTCCACACCGCGGCGCCGCCGTCCGCTGCGGACTCCGCAGGCGTCGTCCCGCCGCTCCTGCCGCAAGCGGATCACACCGCCCCGCTGGTGGGGTTGGCGGCGTCCGCCCCGGCCGCGGGCCTTGCGGCGTCCGCACAGGCCGCGAGCTTTGCGGCGCCCGCCCTGGCTGCGGTCCCGCCTCCTCCCGCATCGGCTTCGGTGCCTCCGGCTGCCTCCATGGTGTTTGCACCCCAGGCAGCCTCCTCGATGGGATCGTCTTCGCCGCCGTTTCACTTCGGTCATCTCATCACCATCAAGCTCTCCGCCGACAACTACATCTTCTGGCGTGCGCAGGTTCTCCCGCTCTTGGGGAGTCACTACTTGCTAGGCTACGTCGACGGATCGCTTCCCTGCCCACCCGCGCTGGTAGACAGCGTGCACGGTCCGGTTTACAATCCGGCCCATCGCGTCTGGACGGGGCAGGACCAGGCGAACCTTTCCTCCATCCAGGGGTCGCTCTCGCCGGCAGTTGCCGGCCTTGTTGTCTTCGCGAAGACGTCTCATGAGGCCTGGACCATCCTTGAGCGCACCTTTGCAGCGCAGTCCCAGGCTCGTGTCTCTGCACTCCGTCGTCAGCTTGGAGAGTGTCAGAAGCTTGACTCCACTGCCACTGAGTTCTACAACAAGGTCAAGGGCCTCGCCGACACATTGGCCTCCATTGGACAGCCCCTCACCGACTCCGAGTTCAACTCGTTTATTGTCAATGGTCTTGATGAGAAGTATGATGCCTTAGTCGAGATCATCAACGAGCGGGGCAACTCGACACCCATGTTGGCACACGAGGTTTTCTCTCGGCTTCTTCTCACTGAGCAACGGGTCGAGACTCGCCGCACCAGGGGCATTGGCTCCCTCTCGGCCAACGTCGCCACCAAGGGTGGCCGCTCTTCTTCATCACCCCGGTCTCCCTTGGGGTTGCCACAGTCGCCCGCCTCGGTCCCCCCACCTACTGCGACCTTACCGGGGGCTGGCGGTCCACGTGTGTGTCAGCTTTGTGGCCGCGATGGGCACTGGGCCTCCAAGTGTCATAAGCGCTTTCAGCGAAGCTTTCTTGGTCTTGGCAATGACGGCAAAGATACACGCAACAATGCCCGTCAGGTCGCCATGGCTGATCGTCCCGCGCCGCAGAAGCAACAGGGACACACTCAGTCCTACTCCATCGATCCACACTGGTACATGGACTCTGGGGCGACAGAGCATCTGACCAGCGAGATGGGGAAGCTTCACACTCGTGAACCCTATCATGGCTCCGACAAGATCCACACCGCCAATGGAGCAGGTATGCACATCTCTCATATTGGTCAAGCATCTATTCTCACTAGACATGCCAATAGGAGTCTTCAGCTTCGCAATGTTCTTCGAGTTCCCTCTGTGACACGTAATCTTCTTTCAGTTCCTAAACTAACACGTGATAATAATGTGCTTTGTGAATTTCACCCTTTTGATCTTTTTATTAAGGATCGGGGCACGAGGGACATTCTTCTTAGTGGGCGGTTGTGCCAGGGCCTCTACCGTCTGGAGCATCCTGGCGTCGCTCGCGTTTTCAGTGGAGTTCGGGTTTCTCCGTCACAGTGGCATGCTCGTCTTGGTCACCCGGCCACACCTATTGTCCGTCATATTTTGCGTCGTCATGAGCTTCCTAGTTTGTCTAGTAATAAAGATGTAGCAGTGTGTGATGCTTGTCAGCAGGGGAAGAGTCATCAACTTCCTTTTTCGGAGTCCAGTCGTAAGGTGAAACATCCTTTAGAACTTGTGTTTTCAGATGTATGGGGTCCTGCTCAGACTTCTGTCAGTAGTCATAATTACTATATCAGTTTCGTTGATGCTTATAGTCGCTTTACCTGACTTTACCTTATTAAACGCAAATCTGATGTGTTTGATATTTTTGTTCAGTTTCAAAAACATGTTGAACGTCTTCTCAAGCACAAAATTGTTCATGTCCAGTCGGACTGGGGAGGCGAGTATCGCAACCTCAACTCCTTCTTTCAGTCGCTTGGGATAGCTCATCGTTTAGCATGTCCACATACACATCAGCAGAATGGTTCAGTCGAACGTAAGCATCGTCATATTGTTGAAGTTGGTCTTACTCTTTTGGCCCATGCATCTGTTCCGTTTCGGTTTTGGAGTAATGCTTTCACCACTGCATGCTTTCTCATCAACCGTTCTCCTTAATGAACAACCTGATTATACCTTTCTCAAGGTATTTGGGTGTGCTTGCTGGCCGCATCTTCGTCCATATAACAAGCGCAAGCTTGAGTTTCGTTCTAAGAAGTGTGTTTTTCTTGGCTATAGCTCTCTTCATAAAGGTTACAAATGTCTTCATGTTCCCACTAATCGTGTCTATATATCTCGGGACGTCGTGTTTGATGAGCATGTTTTTCCCTTTGCCAACCTTCCTGTGTCCACTGTCGAACCACCATCCCTGCATTCATCCTCTGTTGCTTCTGACCAATTTGATGATGTTGCATACTCTCCTTTGCTGTTACCTAACCATGGTGCAGGAACCGGACGTGGAGCTCGTTTGGAGCTGTTGGAGGATTCACCATCATCATCGTCGTCTTCTGGTGGGCACGTCGATCGCCCTATGTTGCATGGCATCGATTCGCGTGCCCATGCATGGTCACCCGACGAGCCCGTCGCGCCGAGCATCTCCACTGCTCGGTCCGCTACGCCAGCGATCGCCGAGTCTCCAGCGGCTCGGCCTTTTTCGCCAGCGGCCGCCGAGTCGCCCGCGGCTCGGCCCGTCACGCCGTCTTCGCCCGCGGCTCGGGTCCTCACGTCGCCTTCATCAGCGGATCGGCCCGCGACAACGGCCGCGCCACAGCCCACTATGCCGAGCTCGCCATCGGCCCGGTCTGTGATGCCGGAGTCGCCAGCTGCTTCGTCTGTTCTGCCAGTTTCGCCGGTGGGCCGGCCTTCTTCGCCGACCGAGTCCGAGGCTACCGCGACTGGCTCCTCGTCACCGGCTGACTCATCAACATCGCCGTCCTCCAGCCCGTTGCAGGCTGCTCCGTCGACCTCGGTGGTTCCTGTGTCTCGACCACATACACGCAGTCGCAGTGGCATTTTCAAACCTAAGGAACGTACGGATGGTACGGTTGCTTGGTTGGCTGCTTGTTTGGCTGCTGCTGTTGCGGATCCATCTTCTGAGCCTCGCTCATATCAGGCTGCCCTGCGCATTCCACATTGGCGAGAGGCTATGGAGCAGGAGTTTCATGCTCTTCTTCGTAACAAGACATGGACTCTCGTTCCTCCACCACCACGGGTAAATGTTATTGACTCAAAATGGGTATTCAAAGTGAAGAAGCATTCGGATGGATCTATTGAGCGTTACAAAGCGCGACTTGTTGCTCGCGGCTTTCGACAGCTTCATGGTCTTGACTATGAGGACACCTTCAGTCCTGTCGTCAAGCCTACCACTATTCGGCTTCTTCTCTCCATTGTTGTTTCTCGTGGTTGATCACTTCATCAACTTGATGTGCAGAATGCTTTTTTACATGGATTTTTGGAGGAAGAGGTTTATATGAAACAGCCGCCTGGTTTCTCTGATCCTGATCGTCCTGACTATATCTGTCGTCTTTCCAAAGCATTATATGGTTTGAAGCAAGCTCCTCGTGCCTGGCATGCCCGCCTTGCCTCTGCCCTTCGTGCTCATGGGTTTGTGCCATCCACTGCTGACACTTCATTATTTCTTCTACAGAAGCCAGAAGTCACTATGTATCTTTTGGTCTATGTCGATGATATTATCCTTGTCAGCTCTTCTCAGTATGCTGCTGATGCTCTTGTCTGCTCTCTTGGTGCTGATTTTGCGGTCAAAGATCTTGGGAAGCTTCACTACTTTCTTGGAGTTGAGGTCACTTCTCGTGCTACTGGTCTTGTCCTTACGCAGAAGAAGTACTCCTTGGAGTTGTTACAAAGAGCCGGCATGCTGAAGTGCAAACCGACCACCACACCCATGTCGTCTACCGACAAGCTAACAGCTGTTGATGGTGAGCTTTTGTCTCCTGCGGATGCCACAGAGTACAGGAGCATTGTTGGTGGACTTCAGTACTTGACGATCACAAGACCATATATCTCTTATGCTGTTAACAGGGTTTGTCAGTATCTTCAGGCTCCCAGAGATACTCATTGGGCTGCTGTTAAACGCATTCTTCGTTATGTTCAGTTTACCCTGACATTTGGTATGCATATTCGGCCGACTTCCTCTCGGGTCCTTTCGGCCTTCTCTGATGCAGATTGGGCTGGTAGCCCAGATGACAGGCGATCCACGGGGGGTTATGCAGTATTCTTTGGCTCTAATTTGATCGCCTGAAGTGCTCGGAAACAGGCTACTGTGTCACGTAGCAGTACTGAAGCTGAGTACAAGGTTGTGGCGAATGCTACTGCAGAGATTATTTGGGTGCAGTCTTTGCTTCAGGAGTTGGGTTTGTCTCAACCACAGCCTCCTATTCTTTGGTGTGATAACATCGGTGCTACATACCTTTCTGCAAATCCAGTATTTCATGCCCGAACGAAACACATTGAAGTTGACTATCACTTTGTACGGGAACGTGTATCACAGAAGCAACTCCAGATCAAGTTTATCTCATCTAAGGATCAACTTGCAGACATCTTCACTAAGCCTTTACCACTGCCACAGTTTGAAGCTTGTAGGCGCAATCTTACCCTTCTCAGTTCTTTAGAAAGTGGCTAAGATTGAGGGAGGGTGTTAGACTATGTATAGCTTCTGTACCTATGTACGTATATTGTACGTATTGTAACACAACCATTATATATAATGAGATAAGCCACCCCTAGAGGGTTGTGCTGGTTCCCAAAACTTATTGTCTTACAGCACAAAAACAACAACTTGTCCTGTAATATTAGTATTAACATTTATGTTAGTTTTTTTTATGCTAGACTGTGTTGACCTCTACGGTAGACAGGTAAACATCCAAGATTTAAGAGTAATTCCTCTAAAAATTTAACGTGGTAAGGTAAAACCTGAGTACCAGTGTGGTCATATCCCTTGATGCATTAAAACATGCTTATTTCAGCAGCATTTAAGTCCATTCATGTATAGGACAAGGATAATGTTATACTTGCTCAGAGAAGAAAACCATTTTGAGAAGACTATAATAATATGTACCTTCATTTGGCTCAGTGCTGACAACTTTAAACCAGTCATGTCGAGAACTTTAACGCAAGTGGTGATCGGGCGTCCAAACTTTTCCGTCAACATGGGCTAAGTGTGATGTGAACAAACATAAGAAGAAGGATGTGTGTTAACATAAAAATTAAGATTTGAGCATTTAGCTCGACACTTACCAAAATTATGCGATCACGGTATTCGTTAATCTGAATATGAGATTGCACATAGTAGTGCACCTGAAAAGGAAACAGATCAACTTCAGTTGACAAAATGGGGAAATGGTACTCCAGAACTAGCATAAGTTGGTTGATTAGTTGATCCCATAAAAGAGGTACGCATTACTTCAATAACAAGGTATTGGCAGTAAGATATAACTATGTCAACCACTAAACAGGGATCATATCATTTTAATACCCAACAAATATACTTAAGTTACATGAACCTCAAAACGGTATCTAGTCTACACTATGGAAGGTGAAAACTATCAAGTTTCATAGTTTTTGTCGTAGCCTACTTAACAAATACGGAGTAGTAAGCATCTGAGAAAGTACCGAAGCTTTGTCATATGTGCTCTGACCAACACCAATGCCAAAAACTGGAAGACCCTGCCAACAAGAGAGAAAAAATCAAAACAAATTATTAGGAGTCTAAAACTCAACTAAGGCTCTGTTCGGTAATCAACCGCTCCCGGAATCTGCGGAGCGGGGAAACCGCAACTCCTACATTTTGAACCGCAACTCCTACATTTTGAACTGCAGCTCCACCAACTCCGCTCCCGGAGTTGTGGAGCGGAGTGGTACCGAACAGGGCCTAAATCCTTTCTTTACTACTCGTCAAAAATGCTCTTATATTATGGGACGGAGGGAGTAGTATTATAAAAATCTAAATTGGTGGCGGTTCGTTCATATTACATACGTTGTCAACCACTCTATGCAGTACATATGGTTGATTGGGCTTACATTTTGAGATAAACTATTTTATACGAGCTCAAGGACTGGTGGCACAAGCATTTAAACAACTGATAATATATAATAAATCCGTAGCAGCGCACAAGCATTTAGCTGGGTTTATTAACAACCACACTACCAGTAATTTTTTGGTGGGCTAGTTAAAAAAAACATTAATGGGCAGAGACTTGGGTAACACATAGCAAGCAACAGCATAACTAATTCATGAAATTTCAGACCCATTCGGTGAAAGGGCCAATAACTCTTTGATGGTGTGTTACAAGAAGTCAAAGAACATTATCTGATGTTGTCCTACAGGATGACACATTTAGTGGGAACGGACAATGACACAGAAATAAATGAGGAACATGCCCTAACCCCCAGCATGTCTTAATAATAAAGGAATATTAAGCCAGCAGCAATAATCACAGCTTCAAGCAAGAGATATCCTAAAGCGCCATGCTTTATTTTTGAACTTAACCATACCTAAGCTTATGTCATAGTTTGCTAAACACTAACAGTCCCTTGGGCTCTTCCTAGCTAGAAGGTCCGTCACAACTCACAACTTTGCAGCTCTGACTGGGACAACATTCTGTGGAAGATTGCAGATCAACAAAAATAAACATTAACCTCTTCAATTCTGCCAACTTTGTTCAGTAGTATCCGTTCATTTGTCAATAAAAATAATTTGATTAACCGGTAGACGTGACCTAGAACACTAACAGCTAAAAGGGTGTGCCCATTTTCTTGCACACAAACATGCATGTAAACAAGTAGTTGCATCATGAATTCATGATCAATTATTCAGGATAAGAAACATATTACTAGTGTTAGTAGATAGCTATACCTCCTTGGTGTATCCTGAGAGTCCAACAAGTTGTGAATCACGTATTGATCTGTATAAATCTACTGGGAGTATAGGTCTCTGTACATGTCCAATGTAGTCAGAGATTAGTGATTAACAGAATACATGAAATAAGATAGAGCCTGAAATTGTATACGGATAAGAGATCCTGCCATGCTAGTAAGATCTTAGTGCTAACAGGATTATTATTATAACCCATAAGGATTACTCACCTCCAATACACTATCAATTTCATTTTCAATCCTCCAATTCAAAGAATCTACAAGCTGCAGAAACAATATTCAAACCCAATTAAGCAGTTAATAACCTTAAGAATATAATTTATCTGTTCCTTTATTGGATGAGAAAATATGAGAAAGACTACCATTTTATGAGCCTTGGAAACATTCCATTCTCTAGCCTTGAGAAAGCGCAACATTGTTTCTCTAGGGTGGCCTTGGTGCACATTCTGAAATAAACAAGATATGTTTACAAACCTCCGCAACCACTGATAAAAGTGATTTATTCCAAATATTTAAATAGCTGCAGATGCATGAAATTCTGATCTGCAATTCATCTGATTATGGTTTATGAAACTAATAAGGAACTTCCAAAATAATTCTTCTATGAACCAAAATATTTTTTACTGTTACATAACATATCGACAGTCATTTGTGATTGGGTTCCACCAATGAAAATCATAAAAATCTAAGGCTAGAATTAAACCTTCCAGATAGAGATAGAAGTGGTCATTTACTGATTTCTGCCCCACTAGTGGTAGCTATTTTCTTGCAATACAACAGTAGCCAAAAAGGGCTACAAAAAAGGAATATAACTCAAGGTTGGTTTATTTGGCCACTCAAATTTATTAACATTTGATGAGCCTTCAATGACCAAAAGAAAGAAAATGCAAAGACAAATAGTAATATCTATATCACCTTTGATGATTATACAAATTACTGGTGTAGTAGTTACATGTACTACCAAAAGTAACAGTATGTGTTCTTGCAGGGCCAATTAAGTATGGATATCATGGTTTTGGTCTTATTTTCACTTCATTGGAAAATAACTAGTATTAAAAAATTATTTTCCAAAAAATGTTAAATTAATAGGGGTAAATAGCAAATTGGACAGGATTGGTCAGAATCAGACATTGTTCAGTTGAATCCGGCACATCCCTAGGTGCCGCAACAAATTGAACTGATTCTGCACTTCTGATGAGTTCTGAATTGCAATGCAGTGTTGCCATCCCAATTTCACTACACTAACAATTACGCTTCAAATAAGTTGGCATTGCTTACCTTCAAGATTTAGCGCACGTGTAACATGTTTCCTCTTAATTTTATAGACATTTAATTAAATGGTAGCAGAAAGACATATTGAAATGCCGCGCCTTCACTGTTAACGTGCATGCGTCCAGATAGTTCGGTGAACATCAGAGGTCAAAAAGGGAATAATGCCACAGCAGTCGAAACGTCGTATATGATAGGTGACTGCGGACCTAATAAGATGGCAAACGGCATGATGTTTTGGCGAGTATATCCACATTAACTCAGCTCACTTAGTAGACCTGAGAACAGCAAAACGCCACCATCCATCGGCTGCATAAAACAGGATGATCCACGATGCCACCAACGAACGCCAACCCATGCAATCGTAATTGGACGTCATCGAACATGCAACGTCGGCACACTAGACAGCTAAAGCGCCACTATACCCTCGTCTCACCAACCCATAGGAAGTGCACCACCTTCACTCCCGCCTATTCGGTCATGGATGAAGGATCAAGCACTACTCTCCAAACACACCGCCCACCTGACAAATCATGACTGACAAGATCATACCTCTAGCATGTGGCATTAACCAGGAGAGGCTCAGAGATAGCCCATTTTGCAGTAAAAGATTTAGGGCATCCCAGGCTTTAGAAGAATACGCGGAGTAGCTCACTCCCCCCCGCACCGAATCAGATCAAAAATGTAGGGCGCCGAGAATAGCTAATCTAGGCCATGATCCAGTGACAGGAGCTACGAGAATCCATAAGAATGAGTAGCAAGATCCAAGATTTGGCCGCAGGTGCACGCAGGCCAGATCCGTACCTGGAACGTCCTCCTCAGCGGCGCGTCCACTGCAAGCAAAGAACCAGATCACGTCAGGGGCCGCCACAATCGCGAAAAGAACTCATGCTGGAGCGGAGAAGGGGAGAGAGAGGGCGAGAGTGACGCACGCACCTTGATCCATGAGGATGCCGAGCTGCCTGACGGCGTCCTCGGCGGCGGCCCCCATTGCGCGCCGCCGCGGGAGGGAGCGGCCGGGGAGCTCGAGAGATCGGCGGGGGATGGAGGGGGCTCGGTCGATTGGAAGGTGGCTCCGAGTTCTTGGTGGCGTCCTGTGGGCGCCTTGGCTTGGACGGCCGCTTCTGTTTTATGGGTGTGTGCTGCTGCTCGTCGTCTGTCGCGGTGATTGTCTGCTTGCCTGAATGAATGCTACTCTGAATGCTCCTGCCGATGCTCGGTGCGGGACGGGAGGGGGAAGCGTACGTCACACTCAACTTTTGGGGGAAGAGAGTGGGAGACAGCGATGGAAATAAAAAGTCAATGTATATGGACTGCGTTCTGGACGGCGCACGGCGAACGTTTCCACATAGAAGGCGTAAGAGCATGATGTATTCTAAGGTAGATGACGTATTCTAGGGCCTTCAACGCCGATCCTCAAATCGTCCGCAACCGTTCGGATCAGACTTGTTTTGCCATCCAACGCGGTCGTATATCGATCCGCTCGACGATCCGGACATGTTTTTTCTCGCAAACCGCAGACAAACTGGGGGACCTTGCGGGCGTCCAGACCGCTGTCACGTTCGTGTCTGACTAACCTGGCCCACCAAACAACTCCACCCGCCTCTTCTTTGCTTTCCTTCCGATGCACGCGCCACTTCCCGCACCGCATCAATGCCAGCTCAGAGCATGCAGCGGCCGACATTGATGCCACGTGATGTGATCGGACGGGAGGGCGGCGCTGACCGACGCAACCTCTCGTGAGACGCCGCTTCAATGCGGGCGCAGCTTTCCAAGGTACCAACTCTGGCCGTTGCGACACATTGAAGTGGTTGACCGTCCGTTCGCACGACCTGGGCGAGGCTTTATAAGCCGTGCTCCGGCGCCGTCCACATCGTACTCACCGTGTCGCTCTGCACGTCCTCGTCCTCACCACCCCTCATCCTCCAGAACTCCGGCGATGGGCAAGTCGTGGGCCTCGGCACCGGAAGGCGGCGACTCCGGAACGTGCTCCGGATGTTCGTGGCGACGTCGTCCTCATTAGCGGCCGGCTCCTCGACGAAGGAGGAGATCGTCATCTCCTTTGGTGGCGAGGACCAGTCGGCGACGTGGGGTGCACTCTACGCCGTGACTAATGATGAGTACGAGCAGCAGATGGAGGTCATGCTCCGTCGCTCCGTCTTCCACGTTAACGGCCCGATGACGCCACCTGAGACGCTCCTCCACGTCAAACCGGAGCCCACGCCCCTCCCCGCTCTCCCCCACGCAACCATGGCGTCCAAATCGGACGCCGCGTGAAGGAGGAGCCCCTCTCGCCGCCACCATGACACGTCAAGGAGGAGCGGCTCTCGGCGCGTGAAGAAGGAGCGGCGCTCTCCGACGCCCCCAAGACTCCATGGGTATTAGAATACCTTGTGTGCTATCAAACGTCGCAACGTAACTGGACGATTATAAAGATGCCCTATAGGTATCTCCGAAGGTGTTTGTCGGGTTGGCATAGATCAAGATTAGGATTTGTCACTCAGAGTATAGGAGAGGTATCTTTGGGCCCTCTCGGTAATGCACGTCATAATAAGCCTTGCAAGCAATGTGACTAATGAGTTAGTTGCGGGATGATATATTACGGAACGAGTAAAGATACTTGTCGGTAACGAGATTGAACTGGGTATGAAGATACCGACGATCGAATCTCGGGCAAGTAACATACCGATGACAAAGGGAACAACGTAAGTTGTCATTACGGTACGACCGATAAAGATCTTCGTAGAATATGTGGAAACCAGTATGAGCATCCAGGTTCCGCTGTTGGTTATTGGTCGGAGAGGTGTCTCGGTCATGTCTACATAGTTCTCGAACCCGTAGGATCCGCACGCTTAACGTTCGATGACAATTTTGTATTATATGAGTTATGTGATTTGGTAACCGAATGTTGTTCGGAGTCCCGGATGAGATCACGGACATGACGAGGAGTCTCGAAATGGTCAACAGGTAAAGATTCATATATTGGACGATGATATTCGAACACCGAAAGGTGGGGGTACCGGGTGCATATCGGGTCACCCAAAGGGGTTCCGGGCATCCCCCGACAACTACAAGGGCCTTAATGGGCCAAGAGGGGGATAGACCAGCCCCTAAGGGGTTGGTGCAGGCCAAAATAAGGGGGAAGGAAAGAGGAGAAGGGAGAAAGGAAGGGGAGGGATTCGCCCTCCCCCTTCCTTCCCTCCTCCCTCCTCCTTCCTTCCTCCTCCGGATGAATATGAAAGGGGGAGGCCGAATTGGGAGGCGCCCAAGTAGGATTCCTCCTACTGGTGGCGCCCCCTTGGCTGCCTCTCCTCCCCTCCAACCTATATATATGAGGGGGGCACCGCTAGAACACACAACATTGATTCCTAGCCGTGTGCGGCGCTTCTCTGATACGTCTCCGTCGTATCTATAATTTTTTATTGTTTCATGCCAATATTATACAAGTTTAACATACTTTTGGCAACTTTTTATATGATTTATTGGACTAACCTATTGATCCAGTGCCAAGTGCCAGTTCCTGTTTTCTGCATGTTTTTTGTATCGTAGAGTATCCATATCAAACGAAGTCCAAACACGATGAAAAATTTACAGAGAATTATTTTGGAATATATGTGATTTTTGGGAGTTGGAATCACTGCAAACGGAGGCCCACACAGGGCACGATACACCAGGGCGTGCCAGAGGCCCCTGGCGCGCGGAGCTGGGTTGTGCCCACCTCGTACGTCGGTTGGACCTCTACTTCGGGCGCAAGGATATATCCGGAAAAAAAATCGTGTTAAAATCTCAGCGCAAATCGGAGTTACGGATCTCTGGGAATATAAGAAAGGGTTTTCGGACAGATCTGGGGAACGCGAAATAGAAGAGGACAGAGAGACAGATCCAATCTCGGAGGGGCTCTCGCCCCTCCCATGCCATGGGAGCCAAGGACCATAGGAGGGACCCTCCTCCCATCTAGGGGGGAGGCCAAGGAAGAAGAATAAGGAGGGGGGCTCTCTCCCCCTCGCTTTCGGTGGCGCTGGAGTGCCGCCGGGGCAACTATCGGGACGATGATCTACATCAACAATCGTGCTACCGTTATCACCAACTCTCCCCCTCTTTGCAGCGGTGTAACACCTCTTCTCCCCGTCGTAATCTCTACTTAAACATGGTGCTCAACTCCATATATTATTTCCCAATGAACTATGGTTATCCTATGATGTTTGAGTAGATCTGTTTTGTCCTGTGGGTTAATCATGATCTTGGTTGGTATGATTGTATATTTTATTTATGGTGATGTCCTATGGTGCCCTCCGTCTCGCGCAAACGTGAGGGGCCCTCGCTGTAGGGTGTTGCAATATGTTCATGGTTTGCTTATTGTCAGTGTTGCGAGAGTGACAGAAACTTAAATGCGGATAGGTAGGCTATGGCGTATGGGAGTAAAGAGGACTTGATACTTAATGCTATGGTTGGGTTTCACGACCTTAATGATCTTTAGTAGTTGCGGATGCTTGCTAGAGTTCCAATCATAAGTGCATATGATCCAAGTAGAGAAAATATGTTAGCTCATGCCTCTCCTTCATATAAAATTGCAAGAATGATTACTGGTACTTGTTATCGATTGCCTAGGGACAAATGACTTTCTTATTGACAAAAGTTATCCACTTTTATTACCTTGCAATTTATTTGTAGTTTTATTCTCGTAAAGTACTCGTAGTTTTATTCTTGCCAAATAGTTTCATACTTGTTTCCGGTAAAGTAAACATCAAGCATGCGTAGAGTTGTATCGGTGGTCGATAGAACTTCAAGGAATATTTTTTCTACCTTTAGCTCCACGTTGGGTTCGACACTCTTATTTATCGAAAAAGGGCTACAAACGATCCCCTATACTTGTGGGTTATCAAGACCTTTTTCTGGCGCCATTGCAGGGGAGCAATAGCGTGGGGTGAATATTCTCGTGTGTGCTTGTTTGCTTTATCACTAAGTAATTTTTATTTTGTGCTCTTGTTTTCTATCTTTAGTTATGGGTAGGAAACACAAAATACCAAAAAAAATAGTTGTACCTACTAAACCAATGGTTGAAGAACCACCCAAAATATATCATACTACTGAAGCTTTCTACTTGGATCATCTTCGATCCATCTGTGCTTGTGCTGAAAACCCAAATAGCTTAGTTGAGGGAAAATCATTAGATGAGCATGCTTGTTTTGTGCGACATTGTTTATTTGAAAAAGGGAAACTTTTACAACATCAAATTAATACTATGCAACGTTATGCTTGGAATTTATGTGAATTATATGATTTTAATTGTTGTTCTGACGACCCTAAGAAACACCTCCCCTGCCAATGTGAGTTTATTGATAATGGAATCGTGTCTTCTTATGCCAAAGGTGTTTATAATTACTTTGATATCGAACAAATTGAAGAATTTGTTGCTTTTAAGGGTGCTTATGAAATTGCTTCTTTGATTGAAAAGTATGATGCTACTCTTTACAAATCTGAAATTTTTGCCATACTTGAATATTGTTATGATAATTATGCTTCTAATGCCTATGTTAAGCCATATATTGAGGACTACCCCGCTATCCAAGAAGATACTAATATTTTGCAGGAGTCTATGGAAGAAGAAATTGATGAAACTGCGAGCTCATTGGATGAAAAAGATGAAGAGGAGAGCGAAGAACAAATGGAGGAAGAGCGGATTGATCACCCGTTCCCACCTTCTAATGAGAGTAACTCTTCAACTCATACATTGTTTAATTTCCCTTTGTTCTTACCGAAGGATGATTGCTATGATAATTGCTATGATCCTGTTGATTCTTTTGAAATATCCCTTTTTGATGAACTTGATGCTTGCTATGCTTGTGGCCAAGATGCCAATATGAGTTATGCTTATGGAGATGAACTTGCTATTGTTCCTTATATTAAGAATGAAATTGTTGCTATTGCACCCACACATGATAGTCCTATTATCTTTTTGAATTCTCCCAACTACACTATATCGGAGAAGTT